GCCAGGGGGGTTGTGATCCATTGCCGGTCACGAAAAAAGAGAAAAAAAAAAAAAAAAAGATTGTTTTAGGGCCGGCCCGGTGGCGCACTGCTACAGTGCGCCGCTTGGGAAGCGCGGCGGCGCTCCCGCCGAGGGTTCGGATCCCACATGCAGACCGGCCGCTCACTGGCTAAGCGAGATGCGGGAGCAACACCGAGGGTTGCGATCCCGTAGCCGGTCCCAGTGCGGTATGGGCGCGACACTGAGGGTTGTGATCCATTGCCGGTCACGAAAAAAGAGAAAAAAAAAAAAAAAAGATTGTTTGAATAACTGATACAAATACTGATTTGTATCCCTTATAAAAGTATTGGGCTTTTCAATCTTCCTTAGCTATCCTTTATTAAACTAGATTTGTCTCAGTTACCGTGGTTACTGGTGAAATAACTTTTTGGGTCAGTGGCTGTGCAGCGGAGTATTAATTAACATGGCTAATTAAAAAGTCATAAATTAAAATCCTGACATTGTCCCAGGCAGTGACAATATCAATTATTTTGACACATGTAGCAGTTTCTAGCTAAATGTATTTAACTATAGCCTGAGACCCTTGGATTCTATATATGTTCCCTTTAACTAGACCTTCTGATTATGGTCGTGGAAGTGGACATCATTTTGCCAAGCAACTGCTGAAGGGAATTTGCTAGATCTCCCTAGATCAAAAAGTAGTAGAAATCTGTGGTATGTACTTCTGGAAACAAATGGTAGAGGATGGTAGCAAGGTTAGGGTGAGCGATGGTGTTCCAGTTACTATTGCTGTATAAAAAATTACCCCCAAAACATAGCAGCTTAAAACAACCATATGATGCTCACAGATTCTTTGGGTCAGGACTTTGGACTGTGGGAATGGCCCCTCTCTGCTCCATGATATCTCAGATCGGATGTAGACTCCATGGTTGGAGGCTGGACTTGTCTGAAGGCTCCTTCTCTGATGCCTGGTGCTTGGGCTAGGATGATTCAAAGATGAAGATGGCCAGCTGAAGCACCAACACGTGGCCTCTTTCTGTGGTTTGGCTTCTCACAGTGTGGTAACTACAGAGAAGCTGGAGTTATGTAGTGTCTCAGGTCCCCAAGTGTGAGTGTACTGGTGAGCAGGTTGGAAGTTGCATCACCTTTTATGATATAACCTCATGTATTAGTCCATTTCTGTTGCTTATAACAAAATACACAGAACTGGGTATTTTATAAAGAAAAGGAAATTTATTGCTTACAGTTTCTGAGGCTGAAAAGTCCATAGTCCGAGGAACATATCTGTTGACACCTTTCTTTGGTGGTGGCTTCAGTGACGGCAGGGTATTACATTGTGAAAATGGCAGAGTGGAGAAAGCAGAGAGAGAGCAAGACAGACTCTCCTCTTCTTTCAAAGCCCTCAGAATGATGCCCTTGACCACGATTTTTAACCCCTTCACTACTGCATGGTCCTACAATCCAATCACCTCTTCAAGGCCTCACCTTTCAATTACCATAACAGGATTTCCCACCCTCTTTAACAGTCACAGTGGAGGCTAAGTTTCTAACACATAAAACTTGGGAGACACAATTCCAGCTTCAATGAGTTTTGGGGGGACATAATTCAATCCACCACACCTCAGAACCCACCATCATTTCCATCATATTCTGTTGGTCAAAGTAGTCATAAGTCGGCTCAAATTCAAGGAGGGAGTTGACCTTTTGATGTGTCAATGGCAAGGTCAGATTGTAGAAGATTATGTAAAACAAGAGATATTATTGAAAACATCTTTGAAAAATACAATCCATCACATTTGATAATAAGAAACCTTTGTAGTTTCATTGACTTTCAAGTTTCACCCTTAAAATATTTAAGATATAGTCCCTAAGAGCTAATGGCACACCAAAAAAAAGGGTCAAGTTTACAACTTGAGGAACTGGCTAGTACTTTGCCCATAGATAATCCTCAAACTGGAGAAACGCTCCCGTCTTTCAGGGACCTTCTACTGATACAAGGCTTCTGGAACAAGTTGGATGCCATTCTTTTTTTTTTTTTTTTTTAAAGATGACCAGTAAGGTGATCTCAACCCTTAGCTTGGTGTTGTCAGCACCACGCTCAGCCAGTGAGCAAACCGGCCATCCCTATATAGGATCCGAACCCGTGGCCTTGGTGTTATCAGCACCGCACTCTACCGAGTGAGCCACGGGCCGGCCCAGATGCCATTCTTTGAAAGTTTCATGTAGCCTTGAGAAAAAGTAAATAAATACAAGCCCTGGTATGGTCACTATGACTCCTCAAATCCCATTGCAATAACTACTTCCAAATTTTGAGTGAAGACAAGTTGGTTAACTGCTGCTAAACATTTCAAGTAAATGCCCTTATAATCTTCTCGTATGAATAATGATTTTGGGGCCAGCCCGGTGGCGCACTGCTACAGTGCACCGCTTGGGAGCGTGGCGGCGCTCCCGCCAAGGGTTCGGATCCCACATACAGACTGGCCGCTCACTGGCTGAGCATGGTGCGGGAGCAACACCGAGGGTTGCGATCCTGTTGCCGGTCACGAC